GATATAAATATCAAATATAATTACTTATGATAAAAAAATCACTCTTAGATTGTGATATACAATTGATATAAATTGGTATGCATCTTATCCATGTCATATAACTGCTCCAATCCTAGCTTGATAAAAAGCTAATTGATTAAATTCAGATAAAGAGAAATTCTGTCTAAGCCTTTCATGATTGAACAGTTTATTTGGCCAACGTTTCGGCTGCTTCGCCTTCGTCAGGGCCTGAAATAGTGCAAAGCATATGTGTGGCATGCTCGCCCAAAAGCCTCAACAAAACTCCAAGAGAACTTCAAATAGATCAGCAAAGTCGATCGTGGACTATGTTGATTAAATTCAGTTCTCTTCGACATCTACTGCAATAATCGTCATATAGTGTATTACCGAACTCCAAGGCACGTCCCTCTCAGGGTGAGTTGCAGCACTGTCGTGTTCAGGTAGTCCGAACTCTGCAGAATTATTGATAAACCTCCCAGAAGCAAAGGGCATGATTTTCGAAGACCATCTATTTATTTGCCTCATCGGGGATCTGATCTTACATGTTGAACGTTGTTGTTTAGTCTCAAGACGATTTATTGTCTCCCTCATGTCTGTGAAGAGGGAGCATGTACGAAGTTCGCAATCCGTGAACAACGTGTTCGTTTCATTTATGTGACCGGTCGGCTCGCCCGGCTGACGCCGGGCTCCCCTCCTTCTCGTGTAAAATGGCCTACCCGCCTGCACTTTTTTCAGATTTGAAGCCTTCCAAACACAAACACCCAACACAATTCGTGCGCGCCCCGTCCGCCATGAACAAACCTCGTTGAGTAATTCTATTTATTTGCAACTTATTCAACCTTTGCTTCAAAACTTCGCTTCAAATTTACACTGACATTTTTTTACTCACGCCTCGTCTCCTATGAGAGTTGAGTCCTGCCGCCCGACAAAGGTGTTGCCATTCTGCACACTGTATTTCTATCGAGTATGAGTGCCCTCAGTCCGAAGTAAAATCTTTCGCACATAACCCGCCCCATGTGGGTGATGTCCGATCCCGCGACCCACCATAAGTGTGCTATTCCGCCTCCTGTACTCCTGCCAAGTTTGAACGCTATAGGACCATGGGGGCAGGAATTATGATTTTCCGCTCAAACCCCGCCCACTGGGCCACTGTGGGCGGAGTGCGGTCCTGCAATCCAACACAAAAGTTCCCATCCTGCCGCCTGTACTTCCACCGAATTCGAGCGCTCTTGGTCTATAGGAACAGAATTTATAAGTTCTCGCTCAAACCCCGCCCGTATGAGCGGGGTCCGGTCCGACCACCCACTATGAGCGTTCCCATCCTATCTGGAGTGCTTCTATCAATTTTGGACGCTCTAGGTCCACGGGGGACGGAGTTATGAATTTCCGGTCACACAAACACATACACACACAAAGACACAAAGACACTCACACACAGAAGCGCACAAAGACACTCACACACAGAAACACACACACAGAAACATACACGGAAACACACAGACACACACAGACAGACACAGACAGACATACACACACAGACAGACACACACAGACACACAGACCCACAGACACACAGACACGCACACACATGCACACACAGAAACACACAGACACACACAGAAACACACACAGAGACACACATACATACACAGACACACACGGACAGACACACACAGACACACACAGGCACACAGACCCACAGACCCACAGACACACAGACACACACACACGCACACACACAGACACACACACCCAACACACACACACAGACAAACACACCTAGCGTGTTATATACATAGTGGGATGGTTGGTTGGATATAATGGTGTTGAAACTATGGCATGTACTCGATGAAAGCAATTTTCGTCATTTTCCATGTTGAGAATAAAAAAAGGAAATCGTGTAATTTGCATGCAGAACTGATCCGCCTTCAACGGGGCCACAAGCATAGATTACAGCTGAAGAAAGGAGCTGAAGAATGCCTTAGTAGTGCTTAATTATAGCAAATATCTGTTGTACATTATAATTGATATCTGTTTGACATATTCGAATGGGTGCCCGAAAGTGACAGGAGCTGCTGGAAAACACGATATGGATCAGGGTAATTATGCCTCTTAATTAAGAAAGCGCGTAGCTCCCGAACGCGCCAAAGCAGGTCTGTAGATCCGATAGCACGGATTGGCATTGTTGATAGATCATCACTACGGTTGATCGGTATTTTACGCCGTTGGTGGAAGTGAATAATCATTAACCGAAGAATGTGATCGACAAGACTTTCAGGCACGTTCTACTTCACCCCTACGACACTGACTGCTTCTACACTCAGGCTTGAAATGAGTTATGGTAAAAGATGGACAACACTGCACCCTTTCGTGTCACCTAAGCGGCATGAACGCTTCTTCTAAGAAGAGGTTCACTTGAATGAAGCTCGTTGGAGCGGGCGTCTTTTTCGCTCGACGACCGACCGTGTTCCTGATTCCTATAAAGGCGTTCCCATACGAATTTCCAGGAAGTGAAAAAGATTATTTCTATGTCCCAACCCATCGTCCATGAGGTTCTTTGCAAAAGTCACTTTCGAGGCAGCAGAATTCTCTCACACTCCTTGACTGAGCACGAGCGTCGAGTACGAATTGATGTGTGTCAAACGCTTCTCGCCTACAAGAGAACTTCGGTTTCACCATTGTTCTAAATAAAAATTGTGTCTCATATGAAATCCACACAAGGAATCACAATGACTAATGGACGTGAAGTCACAGCCCCTGCAATGGGAGGCACTCTCGCTGAGAAAGACGTGAGCTCATTCTTACCCTGTTCAACCGGCTGTTTAACTTGAGATGTTACCAGAGTGTACTGCAGTGACCGCAGGGGTATTCTGAGAAAAACTGAGAGAGATGCTGTTCCGAGCTCCCAACTCACACCAAGTGGGAAAGGATTTTAGATTGCGATGGATAATGCTCGACCACCTTACGCGAGGACGTCGATGGGGGAGCTGGAAAGACTTGGTTTAACCTGACTTCCCCACTTCCCACATATTCACCCAACCTCGACTTTATAAACACCATGATGACCATCATGAAAGCACCACATGCCCACTACCGCTTACCTACGACCTTAGAGGACCAATATGAACAATATTGGTCGACTTTCCATTTCATCACTGCTTCCTCACCGCGCTCATGTGTCATTCACTTTCTTCATAGTGCCTAAGTGACTTTTGGAAAGACGCACAAACCGACCCACAAACAGACACACAAAGTTACCGCTTTATATACATATAGAGACAGTGGGACCGCCCGACTAACGCCGGGCTCCCTCCTTCTTGTGATAGGGTCGTGATAAACGGCAAACAGCACACTACTTCTTTGAAACGAATGATACTTTTCGGAACACGAAGTTCGATAGAGGAACAATAGGGCGTGCAAACGATATTCAAAATGCCTTCGATTAGGATCTGTCTGTCTCCATCTGTCGCTGTTGATGNTCGTAGGCATCCAAACCCTTGAATGGTACTCACAAATGTTGTCGAGTCATAATAATACCATTATCAAATATCTTTATGAACGTAGCTCGTTTTATCTACTGATATATCATTAAGTAGGAATCAAACATTGTTAGCGGTCGGATAAGTTTTGCCATGAATGATATCAAGGCAGAGAGAAACCGTGATCCTTCATTGAATCGCATGCTTCGGTGAGTAGCGGTCGTAAGCAAGAGGTGAACCAAGTTCCATAATCAATCTCTATCAATGTACTTACCCTTTTTGAAGATTCAAATCGGGTCCAAATCGACTATTTTTGAGGAAGCCCCGCCCCCAGTGGGTGGAGTCCACGCATGTCACCCACCATTAGTGTTCCCATCTTGCCACCTACATCTCAGCCAAATTCGAACGACCAAGTCCGATTTGACTGTTTTTGAGGAAGCTTCGCCTCCAGTGATCGGAGTCTGCACCTGTTACCTACCATTAGTTTTCCCGTCTTGCCACCTACATCTCTGCCAAATTTGAATACCCTAGGCTCGGGAGCAAAGGAGTTACAGATTTCCGGTGAACTACACTATTCGCGCAAGCTCCATCCCTAGTGGGCGGAGCCTAGCTTAGATCACGTGTACCCAAAGAGTTCGGCTCATTCCCCACCTGTTCATCCCCAATTCCCACTTGTTCCAACCTGTCAAAGCTGCTCCATTTGATTTCCAAACGACGAAAGATAAGGTAGTTACAGTGAAACAGACATACAAACATACAGACAAACAGAAAAACGGACATTTGTGGTTTGTATATAGTAAGGATTATAATCTGATTTTTCGGACACCCCAATATAAACGCACACTGTGTTTGTCAAAGTCCTGGCGATGCCCTGGAAAGCGAGGGCACATCCACTGCTTGATGCGAAGCTTTCTGATAATTGATTGACTGTGCATGTCAAACCACATGTATCAAAGCAAACTTTGACCGTTTATTGTATATTGCTTGTAACCCATGTTGTAGCTAGGGTCTCCAAATTCATTAACTTTGTCGATATACCTGGGAAGCCTTTTCATGGCCAATGCTTCAAGTTTTGTGGGCGCCTTTCGAAGATAGGCGAGCTTACGGTTTTTTTACATGCGGCTGGTATAGATATTGTAGTTCCAAATGCAAGAGTAAGAACAAAATATAACTGCGATGAGATCCCTTCTTCTAAGAACTCCCATCTTCGGATCGCTTATGGTTCTTCTTACAAGGTGTAGTTCAGTTGTTTCAGTTGTTTTGTTGTGCCAGCGTTCAACGAACTGATCTTTAGCGTTGGGCGTTTGATAGTTGGTGCCTCACGGAAAGCCCTTCAAAAAAGACGATCTGAAAGGGGAAAAAAGCAAGCAGCCACTAGTATTCTAAGTGGAATTGCCAGTTGGAAATTCCACCTAGTATTTTCGCTGGCACAACAAAACAACAAATCAGTGTCAATGCTGAGGCTTTATGAGAAGAGAAGTTGGAGACCTCAATGAAGAAAGGTGACAGAAGTTCTAACTACTACCAATCCATGACTGAAATTTCACGAACTTTGCCATCCTGATCCAGTTTGAACGTATTACAGAGGGTTAGACGGGAATAGACGGAGTTAAAGTGCTTTTCAACGGAGTAATAAGCAATATCTTCTGAAAAATTTCGAATTGATGAAGTGAAGCAGAAATGCAAGAACAGCAAAGTAAAAAAGCTAGTTAAATGAAGAAGTCGTGTATAAAGATAAGTAAAATACTATAAAATACCAATGAAAGACCAAGGATGATAGGATGTTGATGGATACAGCACACTTTCCATAATTCCGTGATCCATGACCTGTCGGAAGCTGTTGGCCAATCGACCTTCAAGGACATATTGCAAAAACACCCGAATATTTATCGAAAACAAAAGTGCAGCACGATAGCGCAACGAAAAGACAAGAAGGTATAAATCACAACAATTAAATGTAACCACCTCTAATGTACTCGGTAATTTCTGGAGAAACGGCTTCATCACCGTAAACAGTGTAGTTCTTACCCCGTTCATCAACAACCTAAAAGTAATTAGTTCAAAAAACTGAAGTTCAAAGCTAGCATAGGCGATAGCAACATAAAGAACCATGTACGCGACATAATTGGAACCCTCTTTTGCATTATCCTACAATATATTACTCGCTATGCGTGCCTGTTGGTTTATTGGTGTGTGTTACCTGAAATGCATCATAACTCTTATACCTCTGGATCTAGAGCGCTGAAAATTGAAAGCCAATGGAGACAGGATGTGAATACTAATGGTCGGTGGTAAAAACCAACAACATTTGACAGAAACTAGCACGCAGCCTAAGAAAGCAAGATCTACAGCATCCGTCTAGGCCTTTGTTTTGACAGCGGAACTTTGGCGGTATATGGGTGATGTGGAATCCAGAAGGACTTTGATATAATGATCTGATAAGTGCTGATAAGCGCCACTAGATCACTTCCTTTTTTGGTATGGTAGTAGAGCATTGCTATTTCAAGGTGAGAATGCATTGGGACTGGTTTGCAAATAACAGATTACAGAATATGACAACAGCTGATAAGGGTAGGGGAAGGGTCTTAGCGATCTTGCTTCCGGATGTTTTTTATACACGAAGTAACCTTGATGTTTTATCAAGCTCCATAAGATAAGACGGGATCACAGAATGGGTGGCACGAAATGATTAGTGCAATGATAAGGGCCGACCAAAATCAGGAAAACGAAGTTTGGTGTATTTCTTGCTGAAGCATAATGATTATGCCGCAAAATTGAGGGACAAGGAGTACATATATTCTTGTTCCGATATCACTTGCCGCAAAAGCTTTATCAATATTTTGAGAAACTTTATATACACAAAGATGAAAAGGGGTACATATATATAAAATTCTGAATATGTCGTCATTAATCGGCAACATTAGGAAGTAACATACATCCCTCAGTTGCAAAAACGTCTATCCGACTGGTGAAGCGACCAACTAGACTAAGCGCGCGTGTATCACTTATCCACAACCGCTCATCTACATCGTATTCGAGAACACCGAGACATTTTTCATGCGTAGTACCTCGCAACTATTATAGACAATTATACTTTGCCCCAAACTACGCTCACGTTCTATTTAGAAGTGACGCATCTAGAGCAAAGTTTATTGTAGTGTAGGGTTTTTTTTTACATGCGTAGTCATCATTAACATTTGCATTCAAAGTTTAGCTTGCATTTACCTATAGGAATATGTGCATCAGAGATGTGATAGAAAACAGTCTACGTAGTGTTTTTCCACTGTTTTGCCGTACAGGTTTGTTAAGGCAGAAACCGCTTTATTGGTCGACGTTTCGACAAATCGACATCTTCAGGACCTGAAAGCAGTTCGGAGCTCCTGATCTGTGGCTTACCCGACCAAGCGCCCAAACGCGCCAGCCCAGTTGCAACAGCTCCCAGAAACTTAAACACTAAAAGATCCGAACCGAGAAA